GCAGGGCGCAGCCGCCGCCTCAGGGCCCGTTCCTGCCCGCGGAGCCGCTCGCCGCACACCCCGCCCAGCGCGCAGAGGTACGAGCTCCGCAGCCCTACTGCCGGGCCCGCCCCGCAGCGTTGCGCCGGCCTGCCCACTCCGGCGTCGCCCCGCCCACCGCGGCAGTGCCCCGCCCACCGTGGCACCGCCCCCTCGGGCCTGGAGATGGAACGCCGGACTGAGGCTCCGCCCGGTGCGCATCTGGAGCAGGGCGAGTCAGGCACTGCTTCCCGCTCGCTGCTGGGTCCTAAAGCCTGCACTTTCTCTCAGTTCGAGCTGGAGTAGCTGCGAGAGCGAGAACAGCAGCGGGAAAAGCTCCGTGCTTTGCTCCGAGGCGGCTTCGGTGACCTAGATCATCTTCGAGGCGACTGACTCACAGCTCTGGGGGACAAGCTAGCCCCTGGAAAGAGAAAACGGAGGCGATGGTCTGGAAAAGTGGGGGTGGGATGGGAGGAACGCCGCTTCAGTTCGGCTGAGACAACCCCGGAAAGCGACCCAAGCACATGGTTTCTTTTTACACAATTGGGGTGAATCACCTGAGTCATTTAATTGGAAAAGACCAATTAAATGAAAGTGACAAGGCAAAGCACAAAATATTTGTTTGACTCTTTGAATGAACAGTAATGGAGGGGGGTGAGGAGAGAATTTTACCAACCTGTGGCCATAAACTTCAAATTTGTAGCCACAGAAAAGATATCTGGACTAGCTGTGATTCTGATGAATCTAGAAAAAAGCAGCGCCCAGGTGAGCGGCACAGGGCGGTTAGCTAGTGAGTGAACGGATACTTTACATTTTCTACGTGCAGAAAGTTCATCCTGCCCAGTCCTTCATGTCTGGGAGTTCCTCTTTGCTATTTGACAAAGTAGTTGAGTAAGATAACTTCATAAATTACTGTATTAGAAAGCCTGTGATTTTTTTAATTGATGATCTAAAGGTGGGAGGCTTTTCTCCCTATCAGTGAGCCTTAGGGTCTAAATTCAGACGAAGCTCTAAAATCTGGTATGCTTCACTTCCTACACTGAAAGCATTCAAGAAGCAAAGAAACAGAATTTAGGTGAGAAATAGATTTCTGGCACATGGATGCTGTTTCCATAGTGATTCCATTGTAAGCATGCAGGGAGGGACAACACCCACTGACTAGCCAAGTTCTGTGGTTAGCTGCAGATTCTCCAGGTGCCTACCTCCACAGAAGCCAGACCTCTCTCTCTGCCACTAATAGCAAGCCAGCGGCCTAGAAACTGGTTTTCATCAGTTCAGGTATTTGCATTATTTGTATCCTTGCTTACCTCCTTAGCCTCCACCAAGTGTAGCACACAGTCCTACCAAGTCCGTGTTTTAAGTCAGGGTGGGAACTGGAGATGTGGCTTAGTTGGTAGAATGCTTGCCTAGCATACAGGAGTTCCTGGGTTTCATCCCCAGCACCCAATATAACTTGGTGTAGTAAGGTCATCCTTAGCTACAAAGTGAGTTCAAAGCCAGCCTGGATTGGCCATATGAGACTTTGTCCCAAAAACTAAATGAATAAATAATACATGTGTGAAACTGTCAAAAAAATTAAATGGTTGGCAAATAACCCTCAAGCTGCCAATTTGCTGCTTCAAATTTAATGGACCCATTATATGTCTGGTAGTCTTTTAGATGCATTTTCTAGGTGTAACCCTTACCATAACCTCCAAGAGTCATTTTATGCTTGTTTTATATGTGAAGGAATACGACGCTATTTGTACTACCCAGTAAGTGCAGGGCCCAGATCCATACACACAGGCTCTGACTCTGAAATCTACCATCTTCCTCTCTCTACTCTGCCTCTTGACAGCTGAATGAATCAATCTCCTTGATTGCATTTATTAATATCAGCTGGCTGTCCAGCTAGTATGTGTCACTCAAAACAGTGATACTCTTTTATTCAAATCAAATCGGTGAGGGGTTTTTTGGGGGGGAGGGGAGGGGCAGTGCTGGGGGATATAACCGAGGACTTTTTTCATCCTAATATACCACTGAATTACATCCCCTATGAAATTTTCAACACTGACAGAGGGCCAACAAGAAAACTGAGTCAATGGGCATAGGTCTGATATAGGCTGGGCAAGGTGGCATATAGCCCATAGTTCTAAAACTTTGTCAATATTTTAATACAGATTTAAACAAAAGGTTTGAGAGGGTGAGGTGTAGTTTAGTGGTAGAGCATATGCTTAATAAGAGGCCTTGGGTTCAATCCACAACACCAAAAACTAAAAGGGTATAACTTATCTGAAAATAAAGAGCTAAAAGCGTCTACTGAAAACTGAAATGTGGTTTCATTCACTTAAAAAAATTGTGTGTGTGTGTGTGTGTGTGTGTGTGTGTGTGTGTGCACGCGCGCGTGCTGAGATTACAAGTTTCTGTCACAGGTAACAAGGTAAGTCTCCTTGGCTGAATCCTGGTACTTAGCAGGCACTGCCTTCTCACCCCTGCTAATCCTCCCTGAGCTCAGAAACACCCTGCTCCAGTCATTATGAGTACAGAAGTAGGTGGCTGCAAAATGCTATCTGTAAGAGAGCAGCTATTTCATGACAGGGTCCCTTTTACAGCATCTCAGTACTTCTGTTTGCAGCACTACATCCTCTGCCATATCTTCTTGACCTGTTTTAAGAAGCCTGCTGAGTTCACCACAGTGTGTGATGTGATGTCACTGTCAACAGGATTGTGCTGGGTGGAGCTTTTACCCTGGCCAGTCACCCTGAGTATCCTGGCCCTGCCCTTCGCCAGCAGCCCTGAGATGCTGCAGTGATGAGCTACTGCTCTCACCAACACAGAACTACCTACTACATTCAGTGGCTCAGTGGCTTCCTTACCCATGGTCTCTGGAGCCTTTTTTTCTCTCTTCCCCAACCTGTCCTTCATCTTCCTAATATCCTTGGGTATTTCTTCATGGAGTTTGAGGGCTTCACTTGCTCCAGAAAAAGTGTCCCAGGGTGGGTCTGACAGTGATGATGTTGGTGTCCCTCACTTGTGGGTGCTGGGCCTGGTGTGTATCTCATCATCCACTGTAGACAACAAAGCCATCAGGGAGGGAGTCACTCTGTGACTTCTAAGAGTGCTATCTCCCCCATCTCTGTTCCCCATCTCCTTCCTTGGGGTCCTGCTGCTCCTGGTGTATACCCCACTAAGGTCTCATTCATGTGTTCTTGGTCACTGGGAAGCTGCTGGTCAAGTCCCAGCTTCTAGTAGACTTAGAACAGCTGTACTACTCAGCCTTTGAGGAAGGAGTTCTGACCCACAGGATCTATCATCCCTCCTCCTGCTAGCTGTCTTTAGACAGAGCTGCTGCATCACAGCTAGGTCGCGGCTCTGCGGACATAGAAGGTCCTGCTAGAGCTCCAGCAGAAGGCTTCATCTTGGCAGTAGACCATGGGCTCCCCTCTGGCCATGCTGTGCTATTGGTACTCATCCAATCCGTGCTCTCCATGGCCCTCCCTATCCTGGGCCTATCAATGAAGCTGCATGCAGGGTGCCTCTCTGGGCCAGTTTCCTTCTCCAAGCTGGGCTCCTTCAGTGCCATCGTGCAGATTGTATTCATTCTTTACCTGATGGTGTCCTCTGCACAGGCTTCTACAGCTCTCCACTCATTTTTAAAAATAAATTTTATGTTTTGTTTTTATTTTTATGTGTATGCATGTATTGCCTGCATGTAGGTAGGTGTACCTGTGTTGTGCAATGCCCATGGAGGACAGAAGAGGCTGTTGGATCCCCTGGAACTAGAGTTACAGACAGTTGTTAGCTGCTGTGTGGGTGCTGGGATTTGAACCCGGGTCTTCTGCAAGAACAACTAGTGTTCTTAACCGCTTAGCCATCTCTCCAGCCCAGCTCTCCACTCTCATGGAGCTAGAGGCCCAGCTGGCATGACACAGATAATCAGGAACTGTGTCTGTTTCTTGGTCCTAAACTCAGCACTTCTAACGTCTCTGGAACCCAACTGTGAGGCTGCTTGCTTTAACTTGCTGGTGACTTTGAACTGCTTTTTTTTTCCCATTTATTTATTTATTTCATGTGTGCGTGTGTGTCTGTGCACAAAAGCCACGGTGCACGTGTGGAGGTCAGAAGACAACTTGCAGGAGTCGGTTCTCTCTACCATGTGGATTCTGGGGATTGAACTCATTGTCAGGCTTGGCAGCAAGTGCCTTTACCTGCTGAACCATCTTCGTGTGCCCTGCTAAGTGACTTTGGAAGCTTCAGCTGACTAGCCAATGTCTACATCAGGTTCCTATACAAAGCAGCTTTCTCTGGCCTCACCATACTGTTTGGTAAAAGCTTCATCATAGCTATGAAGACAGAGTTGATACAAGCCTTTGGGCTGGACAGAATGCCGCTATCAGTCTTCAGTTTCCCCTGGACATCTAGGAAGAACCAGCACCAATGGCCTCCAACTGGAGGGGTAGGGACAGAAAACTGGATAGTGCCATTTACTACCTAAGTCTGGAGGTAAGACCAAGGCTGATTGGACCACAAGACCATGAATGTTAGAGAATGGAGGGTAATGGGGAGCTGAACCATCTGCAGTGCTGCATAATATGACCCAGAGTGGAGGACCAGGCCCCCTGCTTTCAGATTTAGCTATGGCCTCAGCATCAGGTGGAGTTGGGTGACTGGATCTGGCTCCTGGTTTACACATCAGTTGGCATCATTGATGTTCCAGACCATGCCTGAAACCGTATTTACATGATTTGATGTACAATAGGGTAGCATAGGGAATGGGAGGGATTGGCCAGCAGTAGACTCAAGAGGCAGATTGTCTCCTTTGCCGTTGAGCCAGCAGAGGCTCAGCACTAGGCTGTCCCACCAGCAAGAATAATAATCCCAGAATTTACTTTGGATAATTTAAATTAGTATCATATATAATGTCTTTTATCATGTATATCAATGATGAATAACGCAAATCTGTG